CTGGGTGACTCAAACGTGCTCTCCAAACTGCTCCAAATGCTCCATGGCCAATGGACCCCTTGAGAACTAGACGCTCACGTACAATCTCCCATTTATCCACGTCCTCATTCCTTATTTTTAGCTCAGCTGCCTTTACTTCACCTTTGCTAAATAATTGAACAAGTTCACCCATTTTTAATATCAATAATAAAAATATAGTTCAATGCAGTAAAATGAAAGTACTACGAGTACCGCTAGGTAGGTTTGCGCGTAGAAATTTTCAAGGACTGTGATTTCATTTCAGTAAAAAGGTATCTTTATCTTTGTTGAGCGACACAACAGACATTACCCACGTACGTAGGGATAAAGCAAAGTTGAATTAAGTAACAACGAGTTGTTATTTACTTAATCTATGTACAGTTTTGTGTACTTCATAATATTTGCAGATTGTTTTCTAACTACCAATTATGTTTGGAAAAAAGTTTGCAAGCAACTGGCAAGAACCTTTCAATTTAATATCGACGCGGTGTGGTTGATGGATCCACACCTTTGAAGAAGAAGTCGAACAAAAGCTGTTATAAAGCAGTTTATTTTTGACTTACTTGGCCATAGTTGTACTCCCAGAGGTAAAGTCTGAATCATATGCAAAATAAAACAAAACGGGCCAACGGAGTTTAAGCCCAGGCATGGGGTTAGAAAACAGCAAATTAGCATTTACTGTTCCATATGCGTTCAAGACGTGTTGAACAAATTTTCTTGGGAAAGGTGGCTTCTCTTGATTTTTTATCAAATATTCGGAGCGCGAGCAGCCTTGTAGTCTGACTAGTAACAACTAAAAGTACCAATAACAAGGTGCTTTAACACAAATTATGCAATATGCACCAACAAAGTGTCCTGCAGATTTCTGTCAGGTTTCTTCTTGTGTCGGAATATCCTACGACATGAATCCCGAAACGTTTCTTCAGATGGCTTTTTTCTTCAGTTTAATACAACATGTTACATAGCTTCCGCACTCGATTTCTCTGTCTCACTCACCTGGGTTTCGACGTTTGCAAATGTAGCAGCCGACACAAACAACACAGATCAGGAGAATGAAGGCGGATATAGGTCCAACAATGTAATACCACTCAAGAGAACCACCAGACCCAGGAGTAGCTGTCAAAACAAGCAATACAGACTTGCTGTCGGCGCAGAATTGATTTCAAACAGCTATCAAACAGTTGCCATAATATGCAATACTATATCAAGAAACTCTGCCGAGTACAATGTAGCTTTTTGAGTGGCTTACACTTCATGTAGACCACACTTTGTCATGAAGCGCTTGTTACTTGGTCCGCTGGGAAGATTGGATTCCGAGTTACGCCCGTCAGACTCATTTTCACAGTGGCGTGCCTAGTTTCATTCTTTGCTCCTGCTTTTAGTTTTCAAGGTAAGTTGTTTTCATTTTTTGGCTTGTTCTTGAGTTCAATATCTTATCATTTTGCTTTACATGTGTCGAAAATCTTACTGCGTAATCTCCTACAAATAACGAAGCCCATTTGCCTTTGTTTTTTCACTTGGAGGCGCTCATACAAAAACAGAAATTAATTTCCTGTAGCTTCTCATGTGACAATTAGCCTGTCTGCCTGCAAAGTCGCCATACAACTGTCATCATTCAGATATTGCTTACTTCTAACAGTGATCTTCACGAGAATAATAATAATAATAATAATAATAATAACAATAATGATAATAAAAATAATAATAATAATAAAGTTTTTTGGGCGCATTTAAAAACTCAATGCGCTTACATTACTATATAGAAAAATCAGTGAGTCAAAACCTACACAATGTTTCTTATAACAGCAATAAATAAAATAAATGAAATAGTTAATTTAAAAATGAGGTGAAATGTAAAAATGAAGCTAGATACAGTTCCTCGTACAATAAATTAAATATAAAATTTCCCAAACAAGAACGTCTCGAAGGCAGATTTAAAAGATGAAAGAGATGTTGTATTTTTAATAGTATCCGGTAGATTGTTCCATGATATAGATGCGAAGAAAGAAAAGGCAACTTCAACGTATGTCACAGAGTTCACAGTAGGGACAGTAAAAAGTAGTTTAGAGGATGAGCGTAGGCTTCGCTGCGGGTTGTATTGTTGTAGGAGGGGCGACCAGTAGGCTGGACGAAGTCCATGGATAATCTTGAATGTGACAAGCAGAACTTTGAATATAATCCGGGACTCAACAGGTGGCCAGTGTAGTTCTCGAAGGGCAGGTTTGACGTGCTCGTGCCGTTTAGTTCCACGGTGATAAGGCGTGTGGAAGTGTTTTGAATTCTCTGAAGTTTATCCAGTTTCTGTTTTGTTCCATAATAAAAGGGGCGATATACAGGGTGAAAAGTAATGGTCCAAGTATAGACCCTTGTGGGACACCATAACGTAGGGCACAAGTTGTGAACACGTGATCTCCAATAACTAATGGGCTCCTGTTGATTGCCAACGGTTTTCAAGGTAAGATCCGAACCAGCACAGTGTCTGTCTTGAAAAACCAAGGTAAGACTCGAGTCTTTCCACCGAGATCGTATGATCAGTAGCATCAAAGGCCGCTAATAAATCGAGTAGTACTAATACAACATCTTGGCGACGGTCAATTGCTCTAAGAATGTCGTTTGTTACACGTAGCAAGGTCGTTTCCGTAGAGTGGTGTTTCCTATATGGAGACTGCATAGTTGGCATCAAATTGAAAGCTTCAATGTAGTGGTACGTTTGTGTTGCGACAACCTTTTCGATCACTTTGCTTAGAAACGGAATATTAGCAACAAGTTTCTAGTTCTTAAGAATCTCCTTATCGAGGTTATCCTTCTTCAGACGTGGGCGTAGGTGTAATAACTTCAAGAGTGAAGGAAACTCCCCCGTTGTCAGTGACTGATTGACTATGTTAGTTATCATAGGAGATAAAAGATCAGCGTAATTCTTTATTACAAAGGTGGGAAGTGGGTCGAGAGAACATGTTTTAGTTGAAAGAGACTGAATAGTGTTCTTAACAGTAGCGCAGGACACAGGCGTCATCGTAAATTCGTGAGTTAAAGTCCAACGTCGAGGTTACATTGAATGGTCGACTGCATCCTGAAGTTCGTGTCTAAAGAATTGGATTTTCCCGATGAAGAATTCGTTAAAATCGTCAACCAGTACTTCCAAAGATGTATACTGAGCAAGGAAGAGCTGAGCTGCCAGGTTGAAACAGTTTGTCGACCATTCGACAAAACTTGTTTCTTCCAGGTCGTTCGATCTTAGATTTGTAAGACGATGATTTGTGAAATTCCAGTTGCTTGTGGTATTTGTTACATGCCTCTGCAAATATTTGTTTGTGAACTTCCAGACCAGTTTTCCTGAACATGCGCTCTGTTCTCCGTTTTATGCATTTTGCTAAACGGAGATCATCGTTATACCACGGTGCATGTGGTCGATGAGTTATCCATCACGATTTCATGGAGGCGAGGACGTCGTAGATCCTTTCCAGGGCTGTATTAGATTTACTTACCAATGTTGTCAGGTCAACTGTGACAAGGAAGTTCGGGTCTCCCACATAAGGCAGTTTCGGTATAACGTCATCAAGAACATTAGCGGTCAAAGACTTAGTTGATCGGTTTGTGACATAAATTTTAGAGGCAGGCGGCTCTGGGCAATCTAGCTCGCAGGTTACGACCTTGTGATTGGAGAAAAAATCAGGCAGTATAATAACATCGTGGACTACGTTTTCGTCACCTCTCCGGCGGAGACTTTCGTCTAGCTCTTCAGTCTTCACTCATTTCGAGATCAAGTGTATGTCCTTTAGAGTGGGTTGAGCCAGTGACATGTTGAGTCATATTTGCTGATTCAACTGAGGAAGTCAAGAAAATTACCAGCGTCTGCTTTGTCATTGTTGTCGAGGTGAAAGTTGAAATCACCTGTAATAGGTAGTGGACTATTACAATTTTTTAGATTCTCAGTAAGTCTAGCAAACTCAATGAAAAATTTAGCGGTAGTAAGTTTGTTCTTCGTCGAAGGCTGCGGCCTGTAGATAACTACCAAACGAAAGTTGAAATTCTTATATGTCGGCGTAATATCTATATGTTCAAATGATGTGAAGGTAGGAGTCTGGTTCTTTGTTATGTTAAAACTCGTGCGTACAAAAAGTGCAGTGCCACCTCCTTTCTTGTCGGGGCGTGGAATGTGAAAAACTGTAAAATCAGGTAATGTATTCAGTATTTCCACAATGGCGACGTTGTTCGTTTCAGAGTGAAGCCAAGTTTCTGTAATAGCGAAGATGTCAAGTTGATTAGATATAATGATATCGCAGATCATGGCGGCTTTTCTAGTTATCGATTGAGCATTCCTTACAGCAAAAGACAGCCCCGGGAAATTGGTCTAGGGTGATTCAACTGTGGACGGATAAATAACATTTGCCGCATTAACTGATCTTGTGTTGATTGTGCGCGGTCGGTTCGCTGTGATAATAGTTGGAACCATCGATTGATTTATTTGTCGCCTGGTCTTGACAGCTTTTCCTGATCGTACTCCACGATATCTGAAAATTCCATTCGATTTCACATTAAGAAAAGCTGAGTTACCCAGTTTGCAGGTTCCCATTCGGCGAATGTCGATGAGATCATCTCTTGTGTAGACATAACGAGCAGATTTATCGTTGCCGATTGAAACAGGTCCTGAGCCATTCTGTGGAATAGATGGGAGATAACGAGATGGGCAAAGCTCTGTTGAGTTGAAAAGACGATGATCCAAGGTGATATGTACAAGGATTGAGCTCGATGTAAATGAATGTAGTGAGATCACTTCTCGGAAGAAACACACACACGAAGCCATGTTTCAGCCATGTTGTTAGGGGCCGATATGGAGCGTTCACGGAAC